TGAACTGAAAATAATACAACACTTTGTTAACTATACTGGAATTTTAAAATGTTTTTAATTGGAAAAAATGATCTCTTAGACTAGCTACAGGAGGAAGAATGGGATTAGGGACATATACTTTTGCATTGTTTGAATTTTGTACAGTGAGAAGGAATTTGTTACTTGTGAAATATTAGAAGTAAAAAAATTACCTGGTTCATAAGAAGTACTCAGTGAATGGGCATCACTAATATTCTTCATGATGAAGAAAGACTTCTCACCCAGCACAGAGCCCCCCAGGCAGGAAGGCAGCCTGCTGGCACCGCTTCCTCGCACACTGCAGCTGGCCCTTTGGCAGGTCTCACTGGCTCCACCTTCAAAGTACATCCTAAACCCACTGGCTTCTTACTGCCCCTCAAGACCCAGACACCTGCTGTGCTCACCCCTGCCTGGACATGCTGTGGTCTCCCGCTATGCTCCTTGTTGCTGCCCTCCCCCTCCTAAGGCACTTTGCCCAGCTGTTGGGGTTCCTTACAAACCCTAACCAGGGAGTTGACACATCCCACGCAGTTGCCCTGTGCCAGGCACTGTGATAACTGGTCACTCTAGCTCAGTTAACCCTTTAACAACTCTTGGAATTGGGTACGAGTAGAATTCCCACTTTACAGATGCAGAAACAGAGGCACAGAGCATTCAATAGTCTGCCTCACGTCCACATGGTGAAACAGCAGAGCTGAGGTCCAATCCACCTGGATCACGTGCTCTTCACTGCCTCCCCACTTCGCCCCCTTACAGCCTGCCTGCGCTCCTTAGCTATCAGGGTGACTCAGAGCTTGCTGCTCTGGCTACAAGGCATCATGTTGGTGCCATCTGACCCCCGCCTGCCCCTCCACCCTTTGCCCCCACTCCTTTCTTCTTGCCCCCACTCCCTGGCTCCCTGGATGCTCCTCCAGCTGGAAAATTCTTTCCCTCACTTCAAATGGCTTGTTCTCTCACAGCACTTGGGTCTCTGTTTGAATGTTGTCTCCTTCAAAAGGGCTTCCCTGACCACTCTTTCTAAAATAGCCCCCACTGGAATGCAACCTGGTGCATCCACTCTGGAAAACAGTATGGAGGTTCCTCAAAAAGTTGAAAATAGAGTTCCCCTGCAATCCAGCAATCGTACAACCGGGTATTGACCTCAAATATACAAATGTGGTGATCTGATGCACCCCAATGTTTATAGCAGCAATGTCCACAATAGCAAAACTGAGGAAAGAGCCCAGATGTCCACTGACAGATGAATGGATACAGAAGTGATATATATATACAATGGAATACTACTCAGCCATCAGAAAAATGGAACTCACCATTTGCAATGACATGGATGGAATGAGAGGATATTATGCTAAGGGAAATAAGTCAGTCAGAGAAAGACAATTATCATATGATCTCACCATATGTGAGATCCACCATGTGTGGAATTTAAGAAAGAAAACAGAGGATAGGGACGCCTGGGTGGCTCAGCAGTTAAGCGTCCGCCTTTGGCCGAGGACGTGATCCTGGAGTCCCGGGATCGAGTCCCACATTGGGCTCCCTGCATGGAGCCTGCTTCTCCCTCTGCCTGTGTCTCTGCCCCTCTCTCTCTCTCTCTCTCTCTCTGTCTCTCATGAATAAATAAAATCTTAAAAAAAAAGAAAAAAGAAAACAGAGGATCATAGAGCAAGAGAGGAAAAAATAAAACAAGACGAAATCAGAGAGGGCGATAAACCATAAGAGACTCTTAATCATAGGAAACAAACTGAGGGTTGCTGGGGTAGGAGGGGGATGGGGGAGGGGGTAACTGGGTAATAGACTAAATACATGCATACATACATTATAAATAAATAGATAAAAGGTTGGGTTGATTTAAAAAAAAAAGAAAAAAAATAGCTTCTCTTTTCTCTGCCCCTTTCCTGCTATAATCTTATTCATAGATCTTATGGTGTCCTGATGTGACATCACAAGGTTGCCTGTCTGAATGTTTTTTTTCTGTCTCCCCTCTCTAGAATTTCTGCTTCCCGGGGCACGGCCTTTGAGCAGTAGCACAGAGCAGGGATGACTGCCATCCGAGGCAGCTGTGAGGACGCTGGGCTAGGCCTGCCATGTGGGGCGGCCAGGCGGTCCTGCACCGGATGGCGCTTCTGGCCTCCGGGTCAGCAGTGGGACCCGGGGCAGCAGGAAAGAGGGTGAAGGGACACCTTCCCGATTCTTTCCCAGTCTGGCTGTTCCCTGTGATCACAAGGCTTCCAATTCTCCAGGCACCTGGAAGCTACCCTGCCAAGGTAATAAAGGTGTAAAGTGCTGCCCCACCCAAGGATGGGTGCGCTACAAAAGAGGCCAAACAGGAATGACACTCCATCCCAGTGTCTGACTGTGTCATGGTGTGACTCCAAGACCAGAATGTTTGAGGGAGATACTGCCTTTGTCCCTCCCAGGCCCTGGGAGACAGGGCGTCACAGAAATGTTGAGGGAGACCGAGAAGGAGGGACGGGTCCACACTCACCCAGTGGCTCAGAGACTGGGACCTGGCTGACCCCAACCTCAAATGTCCCAGCTTCTTGCCATCCCTCTCAACCTTCCCTTCCCACCAGCCAGGAGGCCTGGCTCTGTTTCCCAAAGCATCCCCACTTTGGGGAGTCCCCCCACCCCCAAGGCTCCCCCAGGGAATCCAGAACAAACGCCTTACCCATTTCAATCCCACAGATGACCAGAGCCGCCACCACTGCACCTGCTGATGTCCCGGCAAAGCGGTGGGCCGTTTCCAGCATCCGGGGGGCCAAGTCTCGAAGGGCATCCACAGCCCCGGCCTGGTAGAAGGAGAGAAATCCGCTGCCGGAGAAGGAGATGGAATGGGGAGTGTCTGGGTCCCCCTTGAACACCTGCTCTTCCATCTCCTCGGCCCCTGGGCAAGGCTTGCCTCCTGGGCTGTGCTCCTGCTGCAAGTCAGGGCCACACTCTCCTGCTAGCCCGGCACCTGGAAAGGGGCCGTCTCTCCTGGGTCGGCTGGGACACCCACGGACGGCTCAGCAGCCACTGCCTGGGCCCATCCAGCTCCTCCAGGAGGCAGTCCCAAAGGCTGATCAAAGGCCTCAGGCCCAGGTCAAGGTGCAGAAGGCACCCTGAATGTATGAGCAGCGTCTCGGGTCTGCGAGTACCCCCTGGCGTCATTGCGAGGCTAGATTCATCTCTGGCACAGGCTCCTCAGCCCTTGGCCCAGGAGGCTGCGTAAACCTAGCAGCGTTGGCAGCCGCCACTGGGGCCATCCCAAAGAGGCAGCGCTGCTCAGCCCTCAGCCCAAGAGGCTTCACACACAGAGTTGCAAAACCCTTCACTGATGGTTATCAGAGGATGCCTCTGTCCCTGACATGCTGTGGCAGCCAAGGAATTATATGCTGGCCTCTCTCCCAGGAGGAAGGTGTCCTTTCCCCGGCAGGGGCAGAGCCAGCATGTGGGCTATGATTTCTGAGGGGGGACACACTCCCTCCCACCCATGCCCCCTGACAACATCTCTCCTCCCTGGACTCCTTCCCCAGGCCCTCTGGGGGCGGGTGTGGTGTGTTACACAATTGTTTTTATTTGTTCTTACATAAGAATGTGTGTGTTTGTTCACATGTCAGGACTGGCCACGGCAAAATTTTAAAGGAAGGGAAGTCAGGCCTCAGAGCCCCACCCTCCACTGCCTCTCCATCGCTCTCCAGCTTTTCTCCTGGCCCAACACTGACCCACTCAGCTGTAGCATCCTCTCACCAAGTCCCAGACTCTCATGTGGTCTTCTCAGCATCCAGGAAAAAAAATCAGTTTGAAATCTAGATCATTCTAAGTGTTTGGACCTTCATACTGCATGCTCTTCTAATGATAAATTGGAGATGGCAATATTTAACCCCAAGAATGAGCAGCTTGGGAGGGCAGGTATGGGGGCATTGGGGTCAGGACCGAGAGGCATTTGGAGCCCAGAAGGCAAGGAGGTGGTGCTTGGGGACTAAGGCTGGCTACAGGGAGCACTGGTCATCCCCCTCTGGAGCAGTGCAATGTGGTTCTGGAGAGGAGGGCCCCTCCTCGGCCCACAATTTCTCTGCCTAGGATGTCATTACAAAGCTGGCAAGATCACATCTCTCCCCTCCCCCCAAAACCATCCAGTGGCAGGACCAGCATCGGAATCGAGCCACTAAGTCCCCCACTTGGTGCTCAGTCCAGCTCCACACTCTGTTAGGATATGATGTCAATGCCTCACCTGACACAGGGAACTCCCATCAACTCTTAGCCTCACTGGTCCCCCCTGGAATCTATAATGAGGGCCACGCCCAGGGTTCAGTTAGGAAGGAGTTTTCTCTCTTGGGTGGATAGTTCCAGATACATAATTTCATCCTCCATCTGGGAAGAGCCCTTTGGATTAAATGTGTGAGTGACAGGGAAAACGTGTGCATCTGTGTGTACACACGCACGCATGCAGAGAGAGGTATGAGGCTTACCGCTGGACTAGAAGGTGGGATGTGACAGGGTGGAGTTCAGTCAGCTTTTGGAACATCGAGACCCTGCCTCCTTCCTGGGACACTAGGTCAGTTCCACTGAGTATTTGATTACCCGGCTCTGTAACGGGGGCCCAGGGGATAGGAGTGGTGGACGCACCATCCCCGAACTCAGACACTCACAGGCTTCTTGGGAATGAGACAGGCAAACGTGAAATAACCAGAGAACCACACAAGGCAGTCTATAATTAAGGACCAAATTGTGCAGGCTGAGATTCCTGCCAGTGAAGTGAAGAATCAAGGGTGAGTAGCGTGGGCAGGAACCACGAGAGAAGCTAAGCAGTGGAGTCGTGGGTTGGGGGATATGAAGAAGCTAGAAGGAAGAGGGAGGGTAGAGTGGTAGGGAACAGTGCAAGCTCCTGCAGAGGAGGGGACGGGTGTGATGGCGGGCGGTTACGCAGGATGAAGGGTTTTGGATCACATCAACAATGGGTTGAATCCCAGCTGTTTATAGGCAGCAGGACCTGTGTAACCGCTCCTGGACTCGGTTTTCCTCGTCTGTGAAAGGGACAATAACACCTATGCTGTAGCTATACAGATGTGGCTGTAAAATGCCTGGCATGTGGAACATCTCTTATGATTAAAGGGTAGTAAGGGTCAAGGCTTCGGGAAAAGATGGACCTGGGAGATACAGTGGACTAGAAAGGTGGGGTGGGAAGAGGAAGGCATGATCTGCTTGTGACGTGCAGGAGGAGCTGGCAGGCGGCTCCCACCGGGCAAGGAGATCAGGACTGGAAGATGAGAAAGGAGAATAGCATCGGATCCTCCTAGAGATTTGGAGGCCAGGCCGGAGCAGCAGCTGAATGAAGGAAGACAGGTTAGTGATGCCACTGCCGCAGAGACTCTCCCGACCAGGGGACTGGTTGGACGGGAATGAGTCACTGCTGATGCCTTATATTCAGCCTGGAGCGGGGGGAGGGGGGTCGGGATGGGTAGGGAAGCCTTTGGCTGACTTAAGGAAACTGGGGCTGAGCTGAGGAAACTGGATAGAGGACATATCTGAGAAGATAAGAAGACATTGGAGCTTGGAGCACCTGGGTGGCTCAGTGGTTGAATGTCCGCCTTCGGCCCAGAGCATGATCCCGGGGTCCTGGGACTGAGTCCCACATCAGGCTGCCTGCATGGCGCCTGCTTCTCCCTCTGCCTCTCTGTCTCTGCCTCTCTCTCTGTGTGTGTCTCTCATGAAAAAATAAACAAAATCTTAAAAAAAGATGTCGGAACTGGAGGCAGGGCTGTGGGAAGGCCCCAGAGAGGTGTCAGAGACCCCCGCCATCGAGGCAGCCAAGAAGGGTAAATAGCTGGAGGAGATTGGCACAGGGTTATGCTGAAGAAAGACAATCGTGAACAAATACTCTCCTTCCAGGTTCACCTCGCTATCCCTGAAATAGGAAGCAAGACTCTTGCTCTACACAGGCTGCCCTGGCTCAAGAAGGCTGGGGCCCATCACCCTTTCATGGACAGTGGTGCCTTGTCCTGACATGGCCCAGGCCTGGCTGTTGGACTAGGCTGCAGTCTCTCTTGAGGGCACGTATCCCACAGGGATGGTGCAGGCCCCAGCAGGTGCAGGACAGCCCAGCTGCCATCAAGCAAACCAGAATCTCACAGTAGCACACGAGAAGGCCCCAGAGGACCCGCCAACCTTAGTGTTCACAAAGCGCTGACCCTGGCAAAGTGCCTGTGCATCTGATGAGGGCAAGTGGGCCGCAGGTCTCGCTGGTCCGGGGCCCCGGAGTTGAACAATGGAGAAGATTCATCTCATTGTCCCACGTTCCTGATGTTACACTGAAAGCCCTGAGAACCTCAAATGGATGACATCAAGAAAGGATCATGTTCCAGTATTTCTGCGTTTGATTTTTAAAGTCAGCTCATAACCCTGTTAGGGGTTTTGAACTAAGGTAGCACTGCCCATGTGACTCATCAGCCCCCCCCCCCCCACACACACACAAAGGCAGTCACTGGCAGGAAAATGAGACTGCTCACCGCCCACGATCACAACGAGACAACCAAAAATGAATTTACAGGAGAACCTGGAGTTCCCATAAGTATAAAATATGTGAAGCTACCCAGGACAAGTCTCAGGGAGAAAGACACCATCTAGATTCTGGGTTAGCTCTTCACTGATGGCACGCCATCCTCTGCTTAAATGTTGTGAAATGTTTATTTGGTGAAGAAACTGGTAATTTCTTGGGGTGAGCGAGTATGAAGGTCACAGCATTGCCCATGAATAATCTTGCCAATAATGTTTAACCTGAATCTAATTAAGACTTACTTTCCAGTTCACAGTGAATACAGAGTATGAAGGAAAAACTTAAGAGTGCCAGACAGAAATAACCTGACAAACTGAAATTGTGGGAAGGGCAGGTAGTTACTGGCATTGCTGTCATGGCACCCATTCCCTATCCATTTGTTCTTTGCCCACATCCATATAAAGCAGCTGAAAAACCTGATACTTGATTTCCCAGTCACATCCTCAGCCCCCAACCCCCTGCATCTAGAAGCAATCAGAAGATCCAGTTGTGGTCAATGAGAAGCAAAGGGAAATCCACTGGCGGCTTCTAAGGAAGACTTTCCTCCTTGATGAAAAGAGAAAGGTACATGGGGAGAGCCCCATTTTTTCCATCCCCTATTCTTCCTGCCTGAGATGCTGCCTTGTGAGAATGTGATGTTTGGAGCCATGGCAGTCATCTTACACCTAATGAGGGAAACATGGCGGGCCCAGGGAGTGTATTGGTTATCTATTGCTGTGTCACAGACTACCTCACAACTTAATAGCTTAAAATAACATTTATGGGGATGCTTGGGTGGCTCAGTTGGTTAAGCATCTGGCTCAGGTTGTGGTCCTGGGATCCTGGGATTGAGTCCCACGTCCATCCAACCCCGATGCCCTTTCCCCTCACTCATGCATTTCACTCTCTAAATAAATAAATAAAATCTTAAAATATATATTTATGATCTCACACAGTTTCTGAGCATTAGAAAGCCAGAAATGGCTTATCTGAGTGGCTCAACACTCTCATGGTTGTTGGTGGGCATCAGTTCTTAGCTGGCTATTAATAGAAAGCTCTGATGCCTCATCACATGGACCTCTCCAAGGGGTTGCTCCCAGGATGACAGTTTGCTTTCCCCAGAGTGAGAGATGCCAGAAAGTGAGAGAGCAGAAGAGAGATAAAGAGAGAGAGAGAAAAATAAAACCAGAAATACTGTGAACCCAAGATGGAAATTGTAACCGTTTTATAACCTCATCCCGAAAGCGATACCATCCCCTCTGCCATATTCTATTGGCCACACAGGCTGGCCCTGGTAAAATGTAGGAAGGGTGTGAATACCAAAAGTAGAAAAAGTTAAGGGCTGATTTGGCGGCTAGCCTCCACCCTGAATGAGCAAAAGAATACTCCATCGACTATAGGTATATTCTCTGTGTGGTGCAAGTGTTTACACCTTTTCTAAAAAAGTCAGCAATTTTTTAAAATAAGGCTTAGGGAGAGAGGAGAAAATGTGACACAACAGAGGTGGCAACAGAGCTTGCTGGCATCCTGTCGTGTTGTCCTTTATATGACCTTGAGATAACTAATGCAACCTAAATCATATCTTCTCATGAAGTAGCTCCCACATACAGTAAAGTACCAAAAATAGAACAGCAAACAGCAAACATCCAAGTACCTACCAGACATATTCAACAACCTTAACATTTCACCACATCTTGGTCAAATATTTGTTTGGCTTTAAAGAAGCGAAACACCACGGATGGAGATGAGACTTCCCTGGAACCCTTTTCTAGTCTTACCCCCCACTTTCCTTCCCACAGGAAACCAGGTCCCAGATTGGATAAAATCTGTCTCTTTCATGTTTTTACACTTTTATTACATGAATATGATTTATACGCAATGTATAGTATTGTTTTATATATATTTCTAAATTTCACATAAGGGCACACATTGATTTATTATGCAATTTGCATTTTCATTCAATGTTGTGATATACACGGCTCTCCTCTTTTCCATTTCTCTGCTTTTGGGTAACTCGTTACGGGACCATGGGACAACATATTTATCATTCTCCTACTGACAGACATTCTGGTTGTTTCCACCATTTCACTATAACCAATAATGCTGCAGTGAGCAACCCTGATTTACATCTCCCTTTGCAGGGTATGGGGATTTTCAGGTCACGATATGGGTGTTATCAACGGCACCCACAAAATCTGAATATATGGAAGGGAACTGAGTGATGATGGGAGAGGCTAATAGCATTGAAAGAAGATTTCTGTTACGGTGGTCCCCCCATCTCCTGAAAAGGACTCTAGGACTCCCAGTGGATCCCCGAAAACATGGATAGTACTGAGCCCTATTATACTCTGTTTTTTCCTATACATACATACCTATAATAAAGTCTAATTTATAAATTCGGTACAGTACTACGTAAGAGGTTAACAACAATAATGAATAACAACACAATTATAACAAAATTCTGCAATAAAAATTGTGTGAATGTGGTTTCTCTCCCTCTCTCCATCTCTCTCTCTCTCTCAAAATATCTTACTGTACTATGTTCACCCTCCTTCTTGTGCCGACGCAAGATGAGAAGATGCCCATGTGACAAGATGACACGAAGTGAATGACGCAGGCGTGGGACACAGAATCGGCTACCACTGACTTTCTGGCACTACGTCAGAAGGAGGATCGTCTGCATCAGAACCACGGTTGACTACTGGTAACTGAAACCACGGAAAGTGAACCACTGGTTAAGGGGGGGGGACTACCACACTTAACATTTCCAGAGACCAGGGTGGATGCCGGCCAGGGCTGTGAACTAGAGGGGTGGTCTCTAGCTATCTAGTACCGGATCCTGGGTGATTAGGGCAGGGAATAGCACCTCCTGCGTGTAGGAGCCCAATTAGGGGAGGTAGTTCAGAGTCTGGTAGTTCAGCTCAGATTGCATGTTTGCATAAGAAAGGTGTGCTCCCAACCCTTTGCACTTTCTCAGAATTGGCCAGCCCTAGGGTGAAGGGTGAGATGGGAGGGCAGTCTCTCCCCAGTCAGGGAAGCCACACAGGCCAGAGCATCAATATACAAAATAAGAGGGCCCCTGAGTGGCTCGCTGGTTGAGCTTCTGCCTTTGACTCAGGTCATGATCCCAAGGTCCTGGGATTGAGCATCACATTGGGCTCCCTGCTTGGTGGTAACCTGTTTCTCCCTCTACATGTTTATTCTCTCTCTCTCTCTTTCTCCCTCTCTGTGTCAAATAAATAAATAGAATCTTTTTAAAAAAGAATATACAGAATAAGAAAATGTAGTTAATGCAGAGGTCACTTCTTCAATTTGACTGTTGCTGTCAACAGTGGTCAGTGGCAAGTGGTCATGCCATTGACAGTGGTCATGCCAAGTTACGATCCACTGAGCATTTATAAGAAATCTAATTACTTTGCTTCTCTTGTAATTGCCAGAATAAAAATTGTTGACAATCTGAGTGATGTAAAAGGTTATCTCATTGTTCAATTGATATTTTTCTGGTTATTTGTGAGGCTGTGCATCATTTCATCCATCCGTTGGCCAATCCAGTTTCCTCTTCTCTGAAATCCTGTTCTTAGCCTCTTCCCTTTGGGGTGGGGACAGTGTTTGTCTTTTGTCGAGAACATGTGCATATTGGTACTAACACGAGCTAGTGTTAAATGCGTTGCAAATATCACTTCCCTATTTGTGGCTTGTCTTTTACGTTTTTAATGATGTCTCCATGGTATAGAAGTTTAAAATGTGTCGTTCTTTTTCCTTTACAATTTGCGCTTTTGTGGCTTGAAGTCATAAAAAAAAAGCTCTCCCATGTAAAATAGAGTCTTGATTTCTTTAAATGATTTAACCATCAAGCCTAAGCTATTGGTTCCGTCTCCATTGAAAAACTAGAGTCTGGGGGGCAGTTTGGTACCATCCATTTTAAAATAAAATGCATGTAGAAATTTATCCCACAGACGTACTCACAGGAGTCCCCAGAGATATATGTATGGGGTTGTTCATACAAGCAACAATTGTAATAGCAAAAATCTAGAAGCGACCTAAATATCTATCAGTGGAAAACTCATTAAATGAATTATGGCATGGTCATATAACGTAATTTTCCTCAGCTACAGCAAAGAATAAGGGAGATCCGGATGTGTTCATAGGGAAAGTTCTCCAAGATATATTGGTAAAGGGACGCCTGGGTGGCACAGTGGTTGACAACCACCTTCGGCTCAGGACCTGGGATCAAGTCCCACAGCAGGCTCTGTGCAGGGAGCCTGCTTCTCTCTCTGCCTGTGTCTCTGCCTCTCTCTGTGTGTCTCTCATGAATAAATAAATGAAATGTATTTTTCTAAGATATATTGATAAGTAGGAAAAATGAAAATTAAAAAAAAAAAAACCCAAGATCCAAACAATATGCTCTCATTTACGTTGAAAAGGAGGAGGAGAAGAAAAAAAAAGATCCTCTATGTGTGTGCTTATAAAACTCCAGAAATAAAACTATTGAGGGTGGTAACTTGTAAGGACGGGACCAGGGTTTGAGGGTAGGAAGGAAACCCCATGTTCACTGCCCATCTTTTGTGCTGTTTTCCCTTTTATTTCCATGACTGTAAACAAAGAATAATGGCTGTGGATGGTCCCATTTTTGCTATAAGTCGCTATTTGTTTTGGCATTTGAAATATTTCAAGGTGAAGAGGGCCTTCGTTCCAATAGCTGAGAAGCAATTGAATTATTAGAAGTGGGACAGGAGACTGGGCGTCAGTGGGACAGTTTCATTACATATGTTCCGGAGCTGGGTCAGAAGGGCAGCGCTCCCAGCAGCTCCAGCCCGGTGATGAGATTCCCATTGTCCAGGGGACCGGGTGCGGGTGGGGGGTGGGGGGGCGGCGGAGAGGGTTCTGCAGAACAAGGGAGAGGGGAACTGAGAGAAGTGGGGGGTGGGAACCTGCCTGTGGAATGGGAGAGTGTGTGTGGGGGAAGCAGGCAGAGGAAAGACAGCTGAAGGTGGGGGCAGGTCTGAGCCAAGTGGACCTGCCAGGGTCCCTATGGTACCAAGGCCAGCTGTCTGAGTCCCCTGATCTGGGTCCCCACCTCCCGCCCAGGCTCTGAGTCTCCTTGTGCTGTCTGGCTGCAGGGTAAGAAAAGGCTCTGCATCCTCTTCCCCAGTGGGGGAGGAGAGCCCCCATCTCAAGGCTTCTGGGAGGCAGTTCTCTGGGGAGGAGGAAAAGCCAGGCTCCCAGGAGGGAAACACTCATCCTATAAGTGAGAATTAAAGGCACTTGAGTTCACCTGTGTTGAGATTTCAGCAGGGAAGGAATTGGGTCAGTGGTTACAGAACCAAGATCCCAAGTGCTGCCAGGGTTAAACCCGGCAGGTGCTCTCAGGACAGTATCGTGGCAGCTGGCCTGGCTGGGCTGCGGGGACCGAAATCACAGCCACGTTCATTTGCGCCACTGGCAAGTTACTTAACACCTTGGTGACTTAGTTTTCTTATCTATAAAATGGGAACATAATATTTACCCCACCGGGGGTTCACCTGGCAAATGGTAAATGCATAGGAAGTGCTTACATGGTTAATATGGTCTTTATTGACCTCCTTTGTAAATCCCACCGCAGCCCAGGCCCTGGGAGGCGAGATCCGTGTCTGCCCTGCGTGCACAGTAACCCACTCTCAAGCCTGCAGAATAAGCTGCCACCCAGCTTATACCTTTACACAGGCCAGCACAGTGGGTGAGTCCCTCATCGCCCTTCCTTCCACTACCCATGTGGGAGCCCTGACTGTACTCAGAGGCTCCTTGGAAGAGAGCAAACACTTCTATGCTTATTTATTTCCCTGGCGGCTCCAGCGGCTTGCCTGTCAGCCCCTTAGGGGAAAACACTTTGGTACAGAGGAGGAGCTCAATTTATGGTTGTCAAATAAATACTTGTTGAATGAGTAAATGGTCAAAGCATGCTCCTGTCAGAGCAACACTGGAAATTATATAAATGCTCAACAACGGGGAGTTGTTATTAAGTGGGGTCCAGTCACCCCACAAAACCAGTCATCGAAAAGGATAATTATGGCAATTATATAAAAAGACAGAGATAAGCTTGTGACACAGTCTTAGAAAAACAAAAGAAATCAATATGGTCTGGACATGATGTTGATCAAGCTCGATGATATTTTAAGTGAAAAAGCAATGTTCAGAAAAGGGAGTCTAATAACCTACCATCTATGTTAAAAGGGGGCAGGGAATATAAGGTTTCACTCGCAGCAGCTATAAGCATAGAATACCTCTGAATGACACACAAGAGACTGAAATCACTGGGGGCCCGTAGGAAGGAGACAGAGAGGTGAGCAGTGGCGGATAGGTCACTGACAGTTCTTTTGTACCTTTTGAATGTTGCACCATGTGAGAATGTTTCCAATTCAAAACTCAAATAATTTAAAACACTTGCTATGAAAAGAAAAAGAAAAAGTTTAGGGGGTGCTTGGCTGGCTCAGTCAGCAGAGCATGTGACTCTTGATCTCGGGGTCATGAGTTCAAGCCCCACTTTGGGCATAGAGATTACTGCCCCCCCCCCCAAAAAAAAAGAGAAAGAGAGAAAAGCAAAATAAAACACTTGCTGCTACATAGCAAAGTAAAATAGATCAATGGTTTGGGTTTTTTTCCTACTTTTTTCCTCAATTCTGAGGCATGGGTTTTTCCCCTACATTTTAAAGTTTCTGGTATCAGAATGTATCTTACAATCAATGGGCATTCTTAATAGGTTCTTGTGGCAGTTTCTTCTTCTCCCTAAAAAGCTTTTAGTAAATTGATGCTGAGTCTTAAAATTGATGGTTTTAGAATCAAGGAAAAACAGTACACAAAAATGTGGCACATGGAAAGGGATTGTAACAATGAAAACCATTGTGTGGTGGGATTGTGGGGATTTTTTTTTTTAAAGATTTTATTTACTTATTCATGAGAGACACAGAGGGAGAGAGAGGCAGAGACACAGGCAGAGGGAGAAGCAGGCTCCATGCAGGGAGCCCAATGTGAGACTCGATCCCGGGTCTCCAGGATCATGCCCTGGGCTGATGGCAGGGCTAAACTGCTGAGCCACCCAGGCTGCCCTGTGGGGATCTTTCTACTTTAAAATGGTCCTTACTAGTATTTTTACATCACCTTTTCAATAGTTTTTTAAAAACATATTTTAAACTGTTTTTAGGATAATTGGTGCTTTTAAAGGGAGGCATTCCCCAGCACCACGGTCTAGCTAACCTACCTGCAAAGCAGAAAATCCAGGGAAGTCACCACTTCCTCAGCTTAGTTTAAATAATTATCAGAGCAAAGCCCTGAGCCCTCTATTTAGGTGCAGTTATAAGGAAAGATTCATTTTCCTTGGATTTTTCTTGAGATACCCACCTTCCAGGAACAGTTCATCAAAAATTGAGACAACACTTTCTTGTTTATTTCACCAATCGCTTCAGATCTCAAGTTTTGGTCCAAGCCACTGCATAGTTCACCAACAATTGTTGAGTGGAAAACACTGATGAAACCCAGTGCCTGGGGGCACCAGGGTGGCTCAGTTGCTTAAATGTCTGACTCTTGGTTTGGGTTATGATCTCAGGGTCATGAGATTGAGCCCCAGGTCAGGCTCCACACTCAGCTGGGAGATTCTCAGCTTCTTCCTGGCTAATCAAACCCTAATTCTATTTACCCTCTTCAGGGCAACCATGTCCCTTCAGGGCAAGCAAATCCAAGAATGAGGACAATTAAGAAAGAACAGATGAATATAATTCCAGCCAAGGAGACAGAAGAAATTTGCTGAGGAATTCTGAGAAAACTCTTCATTTTTTAAAGAGAGACTAAAAAATTCTGCATACAGGATGACACAATATTATGATAGAAGATCCTAAGGGGTGCCTGGCTGGCTTAGTTGGTAGAGCATGAAACTCTTGATCTCAGGATTGTGAGTTCAAGCCCATTCTAGATGTAGAGATTACTTAAAAATAAAATCTTAAAATAAGAAGAAGATAGGGTGCCTGAGTGGCTCAATTGGTTAAGCGTCTGCCTTTGGCTCAGGTCATAATTCCAGCGTTCTGGAATTGAACGCCGGGTCAGACTCTGCTCAGCTGGGAGTCCGCTTTTTCCTCTGCCCCTCCCCGTGCTTGTGCTCTCTCTCTCTCTCAAATAAGTAAATAAAATCTTAAAAAAAAAAAAAAAAGAAAAGAAAAAGAAACACCAGAGGACAGAGTTCTGGTAAACACATGGCTGGAAAGTGAGGAGCAAAATCCTGGAAAGGGGAAGGAGCCACAAAATAATCACCCTGAGCTCTGTGTGTAGACTGCATGCATCTCTGAAGACCACTTATATAGGACAGATAAGGCTGCTTGCATCCACCAGTGAGGAGACAGTGTCTGCAGTTT